CAGCATTGAGCCCATGGACTCTTCAAGACGGTTTGAACATGTGTTATACACCATGGCACATGAAGCGCGAGTCTCCTGTGGTGTCACTTCCAGAGACAGCCATGTGGTGTCCACTAGCTGGCAACAAGGGAGCAGGAAGCCTCGTGATCTACAGGCGCTGTCCTACTTGTGGTCACACACCAAGTACGTGGAGATGTTTGTCGTGGTCAACAACCAGCGGTTCCAGATGTGGGGCAGTAACATCAATGAGACGGTCCAGAGAGTAGTGGATGTCATTGCTCTGGCCGACAGCTTCACTAGGAGAATAAACACAGAGGTGGTGCTGACCGGAATGGAGATTTGGACCGAGGGGGACCTAATAGATGTCGCAGTGGACTTGCAAATCACACTCAGGAATTTCAATCGCTGGAGACAAGAGATGCTCTTCCGTCGTGCGAAGCACGATGTTGCCCACATGATCGTCGGGCATCATCCTGGACAGAATACGGGCCAGGCCTTTCTCAGTGGTGCCTGCTCAAGCGGTTTTGCGGCAGCTGTTGAATCCTTCCATCATGAAGATGTGCTGTTGTTCGCAGCCCTGATGGTCCATGAGCTCGGGCACAACCTGGGTATTCAGCACGACCACTCGGCCTGCTTTTGCAGAGAGAAGCACTTTTGCCTCATGCATGAAAATATCACAAAAGAAAGTGGCTTCAGCAACTGCAGCTCTGACTACTTCCATCAGTTCCTTCGAGAACACAAAGGGGCCTGCCTATTTAACAAGCCATGGCCCAGGGGCCGCAAGCGTAGGGATTCTGTCTGTGGAAATGGCGTGGTGGAGGACACGGAGCAGTGTGACTGTGGTTCTCTATGTCAGCGTCACCCATGTTGTGATGAAAACTGTATACTGAAGGTGAAAGCAGAGTGCAGTGATGGTCCATGTTGTCATAACTGTAAATTTCAACCTAAGGGATATTCTTGCCGTCCTTCTAGTGATTCCTGCGACCTCCCAGAATTTTGCAATGGTACATCTGCAGTATGCCCCGACAACAGGCATAAGCAAGATGGGTCAAAATGTCATAAAATTTACCAGTGCATTAAAGGTAATTGTATGGACCCTAACAATCAGTGCAAACAAGTATTTGGATATGGTGCAAAATCAGCCTCACAAGAGTGTTACAATTCAATGAACAGCAAAGGGGACCGATTTGGAAACTGTGGCATTCCTACCAGTCCTGGGTCACAATATGTTCGGTGTTCAGATGGTAATACACTTTGTGGGAAACTTATATGTTCTGGGTTTACAGGCTTACCAAAAATCAGTCTCCAACATACAATGATTCAGGTCCCTCGGGGAGATGACTCATGTTGGAGCATGGATGCCTATACAAGTACTGACATTCCTGATGAAGGAGACATGCACAATGGCACTTACTGTGCACCAAATAAAGTCTGCCTAAATTCCACCTGCACAGATAAAACCCCAGTGATGTCTGCCTGCAACCCAGAAAAAACGTGTAATGGGAACGGAGTTTGTAACGATTTAGGGCACTGCCACTGTAATGAAGGGCATGCCCCCCCTGACTGTGTTACTGCAGGAAGTGGAGGTAGTGTGGACAGTGGCCCTCCTGGTAAGCCAGGTGGGACACCTTCAGGAGGTCAAAATCAAAAAATATCTAGTTCCAAACATGAAGAACGTGCTGTAGACATGATGATATTATCATTCATTATACTTTTTATAATACTATTATTAAGTGTAATTACTTGCTTGATCTGCTTGCTTAAAAAATCACCAGAGGCTGCCCCAGCAGAAGCTCCTCCAGCAGTGCCTCCACCACCGGCCGCAGAAATAAAGCCAGAGGCAGCAGAAGTGGCCCCAGAAGAAAAAGAAGAAAAAGAAGAGGAGAAGGAAGAAGAAGAAGAAGAAGAAGAAGAGGAGAAGGAAGAAGAAGAAGAAAAGGAGGAGGAAGCATCAGATTCTTAAGGTTAGAAATAAGGAGATGAAGCCAAGTATATCAAACTTCTCAAGCACTGAGTGGAAATGAGAGGTTTGGTGAAGTAGAAATAGATAGCTTTAGTGGCTCTGACTCAGATATACTAATGTGGAAGGAAGGATTCTTTCACTTTTATTATTCATTTTAGTAATTAAATTTACATTAATTTAATATGTCAAATATTTTGGTACCTTTTGCTTTTTCACATTTCATTGGAACCATTAACAAGCATCTTTGGACATCAATGTCCTTGTCTGTTTGGGCCAATTGTTTTAGTCACCAGAAACTTTTTCAGGACATGCTGTCTTCTATTTGTTTGACATACAGAATCATATGTGCCTGAATTTATTACTGTCTCTGGAATTTTCATTTTAAGTAACAACTACCTATTATGTGAGGACAATTGTTATATGATTAGTTGTTCTAACTTGACCTATAAATGTGCATTCATCAAAGGAAGAGTTTTTAAATCCAAAAACAAATAAAACCCTATTCATATTAGACATGTCCTCAGGTTCCACATGGTTTAGTTATTCAGTCCACTTTATTCTGGGGCACTGCGGGAGGGACTGTATCAAAGAAGAAAACCCTGATTGCTTGTTGGTTAAGAGGTCAGCATTGAGGTCACCTGCTTTCCAAATCTGGCAGATGTTTAATATGATATATGTATATTTGATTTATTATTTCCCAATGTTTCTAGATGCTTCCTACAGCCATCTTCCCTTTATACCTAAAATACTTTTTATCTTCAAGGCCAGTTTTTTTTTTTTTTTGAGATGGAGTCTCGCTCTGTCACTCCAGAGCGCTGGAGCGCAGTGGTGTGATCTCAGCTCACTGCAACCTCCGCCTCCTGGGTTCAAGCGATTCTCCTGCCTTAGCCTCCTGAGTAGCTGGGATTACAGGTGCATGCCATCACACCTGGCTTATTTTTGTATTTTTAGTAGAGACAGGGTTTCCCCACGTTGGCCAGGCTGATCTCAAACTCCTGATCTACCTGCCTCAGCCTCCCAAAGTGAGGCCAACTTTCATAGCTTTTCTGTTTTACTAATTTCCCTGGGATGAACTTCATACCCCTCAGATAACTCATGGCTGATGAACATCACCTAGAGTTAGGAAACTGTGTTTACATTAATTCTATAATAGTGTAGAGGCATCTACTACAGTGCTGACTATATGTATGAAATTAAAATATTTTTGGCCAGGCGCGGTGGCCTGTAATCCCAGCACTTTGGGAGGTCAAGGAGGGTGGATCACCTGAGGTCAGGAGTTTGAGAACAGTCTGGTCAGCATAGTTAAACCCCGTCTCTACTAAAAATACAAAAATTACCCGGGAGTAGTAGCATGCGCCTGTAGTTCCAACTACTCGGGAGGCTTGAAGTAGGTGAACTGCTTGAAACCGGGACGTTGAGGCTACAGTGAGCCAAGATCACACCACTGTACTCCAGCCTGGGTGACAAAGCGAGACTCTGTCTCAAAAAAAAAAAAAAACTAAAAATAAATATTTTTTCCTCTAGTTTTCGTTTAAAAAAATTATTCACATTAATAACTTGTTGACTGAATATCAGAAGGAACTTCTGTACAGGTAATAGAATTCTGGAGGTGGCAATTACTTCTCTGAGAAGAGAGCACAAAGAAAATATAATGTTAACATTAGGCCAGGCTCGGTGGTTCATGCCTGTAATCCCCACACTTTGGGAGGCCAAGGTGAAAGGATCACTTTTGGCCAGGAATTCAAGATCAGCCTGAGCAACATCGTAAGACCCTGTCTCAACAACAACAACAAAAAATTAGCCGGGCATAGTGGTGTGCACCTATAATCCCAGCTACTCAGGGGGCTAAGCCAGGAGGATTGCTGAGCCCAGGAGTTCGAGGCTGCAGTGAGCTATGATACCACCACTGTACTCTAGCCTGGGCGACAGAGCAAGACCCTGTCTCAAATAAACAAAAAACATTCATTCTGTTCCAGGCACTGTGTTAAAGCAATACTTTACATTCATTGCCTTAATTTAATCCTCCCAACTTCCCAATAAAACTTCCATCTTGTACATGAGGAAACAGACACTGAAGAGTTTGCTATAGAGGTAGCCAGTAAGTGGTAGGACCTGCATCCCTCCCCAGGAATGAGTGAATCTACTGCCTCATGAGCTTTTTCCTTCCGTTAAAAACAAAACAAAACAAAACAAAACAAAAAAACAAACAAAAAAAACTGAAGGGAAAGACATGTCCTTAATTGCCCAGAACAGAGATGCTTCTTCAGTGACTCTAATGAAACCAAAGCCTTACAAACACATGCTGATCTCTGTCATGAATCTACTGCATTGTGTAGTCATTATGGATTAAAATGTCTTTTCCCCTACTACATCCTGACAGAATGGAGTGGCAAGTTGGCATCATTATTCAGTTTTGTAGGCCCAGCTCACTGCTCAACAAATGTTGACCAAGTGAATAATTTAATCAAATCCAACTGTCACAACCGTGGCAATATTTGTACCTTGAGAAGGATTTTTTTTTTTCCCAAAGATGGTGTCTAGGCACGGTAGATGGTGGAATAGAAGGCTCCACCAATCATCCCCCCACAGCAAGGACACCAACTTAACAACTATCTACACACAAAAAAGCACATTCATAAGAACTAAAAATCAGAAGGGATAACTGGACCAAACACAGCTGACACCTGCCAACAGAGGGAGCATTTAAACCAGCTCTAGCCAGAGGGAAATGATAGATCCCAGCACTGGAACTTGAGTTCCTGTAAGCCTCACCACCATGGGTTAAAGCGTTCTGGGGCCCCAAAGAAACTTGAAAGGCAGTCCAGGACACAAGGACTGCAAAACCTAGGTGGAGTCCTAGTGCTGAATTGGCCCCGAGACAGTGAACTGGGTGAGAGGGTGGTGGGGACATGACCTACTTTGAAACCAGCTGGAGTGGCTAAGAGCATCACCCCTCCCCCTTCACCCCAGGCTGCAAAGCTCACAGTTGTGAGAGACTCTCCTTCCCTCCACTTGAGGAGAGGAGTGGGAAAAGTGTGGAGGTCTTTGTCTTATATCTTAGATACCAGCTCAGCCACAGCAAAATAGGGTACTGGTCAGAGTTCTGGGGCCCACTTTCCAGGCCCTAACTTCTGGATGATAATACTAGACACACCCTGGGCCAGAAGGGAACCTGCTGCCTTGAAGGGAAAGACTCAGTTCTGGCAGCGTTCATCACCTGCGAATGGAAGAGCCCTTGGGCCCTGAATAACCAGCAACAATACCCAGGCACTACATCGAGGGCTTTGGGTGAGAGTCTGAGACTTGCTGGCTTCAAGTGAGACTAAGCACATTCCCAGCTGTGGTGGTTATGGGGCAAGACTCCTTCCACTTGAGAAAAGCAGAGGGAAGAGTAAATGGGGTTTTCTCTTACACCTTAGGTACCAGCTCGGCCACAGGTGAGTAGAGTATCAAGTGGGCTAGAGTCCCCGATTCCAGGACTTAGCCTTGGACAGCATTTCTGGACCTGCCCCGGGCCAGAGGGGAGCCCAATTTCCTGAAGAGTGAGTCCTGGGCCAGACAGCATTCACCACAAGCTGATTGAAGAGCCCTTGGGCCTTAAGGGAACTTTGGCAGTAGTCTGGCAGTACTCCCCATGGGCCCATGGTGGCGGTGGCCACAGGGTAAGGCTTCTCTGCCTTTGGAAAGTGAAAGGAAGAGTGAGAAGGTCTGCATCTAGTGATTTGAGTGCCAGCTCAGCCACAGTACAAGAGAACATCAGGTAGACTTCTAAGGTTTTTGAATCTAGTCCCTGGCTGGCTCCTCTGAACCCACTCAGGGCCCGGGGAAACTCACTACCCTGAAGGGAAGGACACAAGCCTGGCTGGCCTTGCCACCTGCTGACTGTAGAGCCCCAAGGCCTTGAGCAAATATAGGTGGTAGTTAGGGAGTGGTTACAGCAGACATTGGGCAAGACCCAGAACTGTGCTGGCTTCAGGTCTGACCCAGTGCAGTCACAGTGGTGGTGGCCACAGGGGTGTTTGTGTCACTGCACCCCCAGTGGTGGCTCAGAACAGAGATAGAGACTCTGTATGTCTGAGAGAAATTAAGGGAAGAGAACAAGAGTCTCTGGCTGGCAATCCAGATTATCCTGGATCTTGCCTAAGACTATCAAGGCAGTATCTCTATGAATCTTCAAGAACCACAGCATTACTGGGCTTGGGGTGCCCCCTAAAGCAGATACCGCTTAGATTACAACACCTAAGTCCTTACAAATATCTGGAAAGCCTTCCCAAGAAGGATAGGTACAAACAAGCCCAGACTGCGAAGACTACAATAAATACCTAACTCTTCAATGCCCAGACACAGACAAACATCTACAAGTATCAAGACAATCCAAGAAAACATGACCTCATCAAATGCACTAAATAAGGTACCAGGGACTGATCCTGGAGAAACAGATATCTGACCTTTCAGACAGAGAATTCAAAATAACTGTCTTGGAGGAAATTCAAAGAAACTCAAGATAACACAGAGAAGGAATTAAGAATTCTATCAGATAAATTTAACAAAGAGATTGAAATAATTAAAAAGAATCAAGCAGAAATTCTGGAGCTAAAAATGCAATAGGCATACTGAAGAATGCATCAGTGTCTTTCAATAACAGAATTGATCAATCAGAAGAGAGAATCAGTGAACCTGAAGACAGGCTATTTGAAAATAAACAGCCAAAGGAGCAAAAAGAAAAAGAAAAAAGGAAGCATGCCTACAGGACCTAGAAAATAGTCTCAAAAGAGCAAATCTGAGTTATTGGCCTTAAAGAGGAGGTAGAGATAGAGATGGGGTAGAAAGTTTATTCAAAGGGATAATAACAGACAACTTCCCAAACCTAGAGAAAGGTATCAATATCCAAGTAAAAGAAGGTTGTAGACCACCGAGCAGATTTAACCCAAAGAAGACTACCTCAAGGGATTTAATAATCAAACTCCCAAAAATCAAGGATAAAGGAGCCTAAAAGCAGAAAGAGAAAACAAACAAATCAGGCCAGGCTTCCTCAGCCACATGAACTGCCGGGACTGGGGCTGGGAAAATCAATTATTTTTTTTAATAAAAAAAGAAAGAAAGAAAACAAACAAACAAATAACATACAGTGGAGCTCCAATATTTCTGGTCACAGACTTCTCAGTGGAAACCTTAGAGGCCAGAAGAGAGTGGCAAGACATATTTAAAGTTCTGAAGGAAAAAACTTTTACCCTAGAATAGTGTATCTAATGAAAATATCCCTCAAACACGAAGGAGAAATACTTTCCCAAACAAAAGCTGAGGGATTTCATCAACATCAGACCTGTCCTACAAGAAATGCTTTCAAGGGAGCACTTCAATCAGAAAGAAAAGAATATTAATGAGCAATAAGTAATCACCCTGAAGGTACAAAACTCACTGGTAATAGAAATACACAGAAAAACACAGAATATTATAACACTGTAACTGTGGTGTATAAACTACTCTTATTTTAAGTAGAAAGAATAAATAATATACCAAAATAATAACAAC